GATTAGCGGAAGTAGGCCAACCTACAGGACTGTACTCAGGGCTACCTCCGTACACCACGAACGTAGGATATTTTTAACAGAACTGCGTTACAGCTCAGTGTCTCATAAATTTCTTGAAGGTCGTGCAAAACGGCGCACATAACATGTACAAACTCACCACGGCGCACGTACATCGTGTCAAACTGAAAAACAACAATCAACACTATCATGAAAGCAACCGGAAATAGTTTAAAAGCCCCCACTGTTTCCGTTTGTGCGTTAATTGTGTACTCCGCCGAGTTTCTTATTTATCGCTCCACGTAGGTGGCGCATTTAATTATTTATTTATCGTATTGGTTCATTTGCATACATTTATGTATGTCGTATGTGTGTTGCTGACCCCGTCGTGCCACTATTATGTACTATTTTTCTCGCGCCAAAATTTTCAGTTAGCATTTTGCCATTTCCCTCCAATTTTCAGACATAATTTCCCACTTGCTACAAGATTTTTCTGATTTTTATACGGGTTTGTTTTGTGAAATGTTGCAACAGTTGATTATGATTAAATGTGTTCATATTTTAACGCCACTTACAGTTTTAACAATACATACACGCGACTAATAGTTGTAGTTGAACGAGGTACGCGTCAGTGTGTCAAAACAAAAATAATCAACCAATTTTGTGACACTGACTTGAACTTTTTTACGAACAATTATCTTCTGACAACGCATTGACTGAGAGTATTTAAGTGTGGGACAGGGGTTCTATATTCTAGAGTATATGCCAGTCTTGTAATGCTGCAGTTTTTAATTTAATTTGCTTGAAATTCTTGTATCAGTTTGTCACAATGGAGTACACCAGTCTCCCTCCATCGGTTTTTTTTCCTGGCCTCGGCGGTCGGCGTGCTAGTAAAAGTAAGTATTTATCCCTCCAGTAATGTTAGTTGAATTGGCTTTATCATGAGCGGATTTAGAAAGAGCCGAGGGGCCGCGGCCTCCTATTTTTAACAACCAACAGGGCTTCGCGCCAACGGCGCTCGCGAACTTCGCCCTCGGCCAACTTATCGTCCCCCTATTCCAGAATCCTAGATCCGCCCCTGTTTATTTTTAATTTGTGCACTACATGCAATGTTGCCATTATATTTTACTTTTGTGTGTGTTGGCAAACAAATGGTTCACTAGACTGTGTATACATGGCCACAACCTAGCATGAAACTTACTTTATGTAACTGTGTGTACATTGTTCACTGATTGTTGGATGTGTTGTGTGTAAATAAGACTTACTGAAGTCAGGGCTGCGTTTGTTTTGCATTAAATTTGCTAACTCTCAGCGGAATGCCTCATTGATCCCATAGACACAAGATTTGCGTCGTAGAGACGTTTCACCGCTAGAGGGAGCAACAGATTGGAAGTTGGCTGGAATTAGAAAAGTGCGCCTCTGTCAACCGGGTAGAGGACACAATTCTTGCCAGGTCTGATTTGTCCTTTCTTTTAAATGTAATTAATCAGAATTACGTCTAACAATTACAATATACCTGATGTTGGGTGGTAGTAGTTTCGAATATCAACAATTAAGGTAGAAGCCTACTCATAAATTAAAAAACCCAGAATTTATTCATTTTGCAATAAATTGTACTCCAAAGCAATATAAGGATATTGACCTAAAAAAAGTTGGGGGTCACCAGCCTTTTTTTCGAGAAATGGATAGTTGTATTTTAGTAGAAAGTCGCCATTTTGACACTATTATATTGCTTTTACCACAGGTTCCTATGGCAGAGATATTATGCAATATCTCACAATCTAGCCTGGTGACATAGGCTGAAAAAATCATATATTGTTAATAATGGGGTACCTTTTGTTGTTCTGAATTATTAAAAAAATCTGGGTTTTAAAAAGTGTCAAAAAATGCAATTTTTTTTTAACATTATGTTCTATGGAATTGTTCTAAAAATAGCAATTTTTAAGAAATATTGGGACACGTTTCTCAAAAAGCATAACTGTAACACACAAAATAATGCTATTTCATTATACCATGGAACATTAGCTTCATGATTGTACATAATAAACTAATGAACATTGTCATGCGATTTATGACTAATTTTGTCAAAAAATATGACTAGGCTTCTACCTTAAGCACAAATCATCAGAATAATTATGCGGCCACGTGACATATGGCAAACTCGCAATTAACAGGCTGTTGTTATAACAGCCGACGATGATATGTTCACAGTTCGTGAACAAAAAATATTTCGAGAAATATTTGCAACACCATGATTTGAAACCAGATAATGCGTTTTCAGAAACATCGCCATCTAGAGTCAAAACTAAAACCGTATCGAGGAGGGGGACATGTATCCATGTATCCTCGGGGCGGACATCCGGACATTTTCAACGCATGGCAACCATCACGATGAAAACAAAGGCCAAAAACTCTCAGAAAACGGTACTTTGGGATGGTTGTCGAGACTCCCCTGAACAGTGTAACAAGATTAGCCCTACGTGTGTAACATATATAAATTCAGTTGTTCAGGATTACTTCAAAGTTGAGTTTGTGTTGTTTTCTTGAATTTTCACCGGCTTCTCGACCGGCGTTCATGCCACAGCAGGGCACAGAGCCAATAGAAATGCATGGTACAGCGGTGCGCGTCTTAGCAACGTGGAACGTCTTGTGGCGTAGCTCCGCCCCGAGGATCAGTAGTTCCTAGAAAATCAGTTTGTGGTACATAAGTTTTACCTTGTACCTATCTGTTTGCAGAAATGGTCTATATATACACCATACAACGTTTCATGTAAAATAACCACACTATTTACTGTTTGAAATAACTTGGCAGGGTGGCGGGTTCACTGGCAAAGTGTTTCTAACACACCTTTCCATAAATCGAGCCCTCTGGTGACACACCGCTTCCTATGCGTGAATTGGCGGCACAAAAACCGCTCGAATTGTCGATATCATTTTGATCTGTAATCGTTCATCAATGAGGATTATGTTGTTGGGAGATTTTACCATATTCCCGATGACGAACGACTTAACAGCCAGTCGCATTCTCTGAAACCAGTTCCAGGCAACACAGCGACGTTACCGCAGGGTGGCGCGTGACCCTTGCTACTCAGTATGATTTGTTGAGTGACCGTGATTTGTGCGATATGGACAACTTTCCCAGACTTGTTGTGAGACTTGGGTGCAGAGAGACGCCTGCTGTTGTCATGGCGCTAAGTACAAACATTACAGTTTGCTTAGGTGTTTCCGGTAACCCGACCCTACCTAAAAATACGTCCTGATCCTAATTTTTTTTTTCAACATATATAAGATTTTAATTTTATTGCACAGTTTAAATTTAAAAAAAAAAATAAAAACTTGCTATTTGATGATGACGTTTCGTCTCGTCCCGACTTCCGATGGTGTTTGGAAATGTGTGGTCGATGATGCGTCTTTTAGCCAATCAGCGATCGCATACCACATCACGTGCCACCATTTTACCTATTTTTAGATTCCAAAATGGCCGCCTCCAGTGCAAGTGCGGCCGTCGTTTGTGCGATAAAAAATGTATGTTCAAAGCACAATGTTCGGACATCGAGGTCGTTT